CACTCTCTGCTGTTTCTTCCTCCTTCTTCCTTCCTTCCGCTGTCTTCATTGGTTCATTTATACACGCGAAACGCGTTCTCTGGCTGGCTGGATTGTCCGCTCGGTCTGCTGTACATACATGGCGGCGCAAGATGGCGACCTCTGTAAAGCAAGGCCCTTGCTATATATATATATATAAAAGCATAATTATAAGGCTACGAAAACCAAACAAATTTTATTTTATAGCGATTATACACTTGTATAAACATATTAATGGGTAGAATGTTCAGATCCAGATTCAGATTGACAATAAACCATGCCAAATATTACACACTGCCCCTTTAACGTGAATATATGTGTTTGCTGTATATCTCTGTACAGCAGTGATTTAGTTGTGATGTTATGTGGTGTGTATGTGTGCAGACCAACAGCGTTCCTGGCTGCTACGGCAGGTGGAGATCGACACAAACTTCCTTCGGAGGCTTAATGTGTTGGACTACAGCCTCCTCCTGGCTCATCAGCCCTTACACAATGATGAACGCCACCCGAGTCTCTCCTTCGCCACTCTCATCATGAGAACAAAAAAGTCAGTGTCTACATACTGTTCATGTTTTATACCTTCACACTATGAGAATCCCCTCTTATCAAGTGTCTATACCAAATTTTGAACTACAGATCTTTTAAGAATGTATAGCTTATAAGTAATATTTCAGAGAGCAGAGAGAATGTGTGTTTCAAGATTTACATCACTCATTTATGGAGAAAAAACACCTACCATTACACAATATCATGTCCTGTTTTACCTAGGACATGAAAACATAACAACCATAATGATTTAAATACATTTTATTGAAACTGAAAATAGCAAGAACATTCTGGAACTGTGGGGTTTGTTATACAGTGCCCTCCAAAAGTATTGGAACAGTGAGGCCAATTCCTTTATTTTTGTTGTAGACTGAAAATATTTGGGTTTGACATCAAAAGATGAATATGGGACAAGAGATCAACATTTCAGCTTTTATTTCCAGGTATTTACATCTGGATCTGATACACAACTTAGAAGATAGCACCTTTTGTTTGAACCCACCCATTTTTCATGAGAGCAAAAGTATTGGAACATGTGACTGACAGGTGTGTTTTGTTGCCCAGGTGTCTCCCAATTACATTGATTATTCAAACAATAAATAGCACTGAATGTCTGAGCTCAGTTTCAGATTGGGTACGATAGGTTTTGCCTGTGCAGACTGCATTTAGAGGTGGAACCAACATGAAAACCAGAGAGCTGTCTATGGGTGAAAAAGAAGCAATTGTGAATCTGAGAGAAGATGGACAATCAATCAGAGCCATTGCACAAACATTGGCCATAGCCAGTACAACCATTTGGAATGTCCTGAAGAAGAAAGAAACCACTGGTGTACTAAGCAACAGACGTCGAACAGGTAGACCAAGGAAAACATCAGCAGTTGATGACAGAAACATTGTGAGAGCTGTAAAGAAAGACCCTAAAACAACTGTTAGTGACATCAGCAACAACCTCCAGAGGGCAGGAGTGAAGGTATCACAATCTACTGTTCGCAGAAGACTTCATGAACAAAAGTACAGAGGCTACACCAGAAGATGCAAACCACTCATTAGCAAGAAGAATAGGAAGGCCAGGCTGGAATTTGCCAAAAGGTACAGAGATGAGCCTCAAAAATTCTGGGAAAAAGTTTTATGGACTGATGAGACAAAGATTAACTTTTTCCAAAGTGATGGAAAGGCGAAAGTTTGGAGAAAGAAAGGATCTGCTCATGATCCCAAACATACAAGCTCATCTGTGAAACACGGTGGAGGTAATGTCATGGCTTGGGCTTGCATGGCTTCTTCTGGGACGGGCTCTTTCATCTTCATTGATGATGTAACACATGATGGCAGCAGCAAAATGAACTCAGAAGTCTACAGAAACATTTTGTCTGCTAATTTAAAGAAAGATGCAACCAAACTGATTGGGAGATCCTTCATCATGCAGCAAGATAACGACCCAAAACACACTGCCAAAACAACAAAGGAGTTCATCAGGGGCAAGAAGTGGAAGGTTTTAGACTGGCCAAGTCAGTCTCCAGACTTAAACCCAATAGAGCATGCATTTTACCTGCTGAAGAGGAGACTGAAGGGAGTAACCCCCCAAAACAAACAACAACTGAAAGAGGCTGCGGTGAAAGCCTGGAAAAGCATCACAAAAGAAGAATGCAAAAGTTTGGTGATGTCAATGGGTCACAGGCTTGATGCAGTTATTGAAAGCAAAGGATTTGCAACTAAATATTAAGTCTCATTCACTTTAATCTATTTTAAGTTTATATGTTCCAATACTTTTGCTCACCTAAAAATTTTGTGTTCCATTACAAATAATGCTATCTTCTAAGTTGTGTATCAGATCCAGATGTAAATACCTGGAAATAAAAGCTGAAATGTTGATCTCTTGTCTCATATTCATCTTTTGATGTCAAACCCAAATGTTTTCAGTTGACAACAAAAGTAAACGAATTGGACTCAGTGTTCCAATACTTTTGGAGGGCACTGTATAACCTTATACAGTGGCATGCAAAAGTTTGGGCACCCCTGGTCAAAATTTTGTTTACTGTGAGCTAGCAGCACTGTACCCATTGGCTAATGGCGGGGGGGGGGGTCCGCGTCGGGCGTCTGGGGTGTGTCTCTGGCTCTCTGGGGGTGTTGGCCATTGCCGCCCTGGGTCCTTGGGCCTGCATGGTGTTCTGCGGCTCCCTGGGCGTGGGGTCTGGGCACTCCTGCGGTCTTGGGGTGCCATACCGCCCGCCTTCCCCAGCAGGGCTGGCCCTGGACCCTGGTGATGGTTTTCATAAACACATTGGGAGGGTTCAAATACACGCATGCATGTTCGATACTTCAGCTCCATGACGCATCGCAAAGAACTGATGGGATCACTTAAAAGGGGCCCACTTGCTTCTCGAACCTACCACACTGCGCTGGCAGCTCTTCTCCACAAGGACTCTCACATTTTTGGTGTTCAGTATAGACTTCTCTTTTGTTTTTGTTTTTCAGTACAGTATAGTAGACATGTATATGTTTATTTTTGATAATCTGTATGGAGCACAACCACCTCAAGGCCACAATACATCAGCTACACTGCCTGTTTCTCCTCTGTTTTTTTGTTTGTTTGTTTGTTTGTTTGTTTTTTTCCCGCTTCTTCTCTGCATGCACTGTCACTATATAACTCAGGACTTAAGCACTTGCCCCTCAATCCCCTCTGCTTGTTCCTTACTTTCCCCTTGACACACTTTGGTGTATCACGGCCCTCTCTGGCTCATATTAGGAAGTTTTTCCAATAAAGGCTGATAGGCTAGTCTCCAGGGAGGGTGGGTGACGGTCACAACCACGCACAGTGTGGGTATAAAATACTTGACTGCAAGATTAACAGTGCATCAATCTTCATAAGAAGCTTACACCCTTTTGTGGGGCTAAGCTACGAAGACCAATGCAGACAGGTAGAAAAAAAAGGAGGAGAAAAAAAAGAAGTCTAAACAATACACATCATAGTGAGCTCATTTCTTTCCTTTCTATCTCAGGATGTGATTTTGATATCATTGGTTGTACTGAAACATGGATTAGCAATACGTCACATCTTGATACTTTGAACCTTGATGGATATAAACTTTACCACAAAGATAGATTGGGTCAAAAAGGTGGTGGGGTATGTCTTTATGTAAAGGCCAGACTCCTGGTTGGAATAATCTATCGTCCACCTGATTCTAATTTGGATGTGTTTAGAGATAAACTTGAGGAAACCCTTTATGCTATAAACCAATCTAACAAAAACTGTATCATGTTAGGAGACTACAATATAGACATTTCTGAGGACGACGGTCACAAACAAGACTTCTTAAATACTCTGCACTGCTTTTCCTTTTTTCCAACCATAAATATTCCTACTAGAGTTACACCCTCCTCTCAGTCTATAATTGACAACATTGTCACAAACATTCAGAATACAAAGCTAGAGTCTGGTGTTATCCCTGTTGATATATCTGACCACTATCCCATTGTGCTGTTTCTCAACACGGGTTGCAAACATACATCATCTCATACAAAAATCAAAACAAGAATTATAAATGATAGAACTCTGAAAGAATTATGTGAATGTATGGGGATCAGGACATGGATTGATGTCTATGAGGCTAATGATCCTGACACTGCTTATGACAGCCTCATCAGTGGAATATCAGACTCAATCCAACGTACTATCCCTGAGAGGATTGTAATGAGCAGCAATAGTGATCAAAATCCATGGCTCACGAAGGGGATTTTAAATTCTATTAAATCTAAAAATAAGTTATACAGTATAAGCAGTACATTAAAAATCCTAGTGCAACTAGATAAATAAAGAATAAAGATAAATATAACATGACTCTAAAAGGACAAAAATTAGTGAAGTTGAACTTGCCGAGAATTTTAATGAGTACTTTGCTTCCATTGGTGAAAATCTAGCCAAAGAAATAATTGCTCCTCGGGTGGTTCCTGTATTTAGTATCTTACAGGTAATTACCCTAACTGCTTTTTCATGAATCCTACTGATACAAGTGAACTTCTTCAAATCATTTCTAAACTAAAAGGTTGACATACAGTTGATGCAGATGGGATATGTAGCAAAAATGTCAAAGCCATAGCACACATAATTGTCAAACCCCTTGCTCACTGCATAAATTTATCGTTATTACATGGTATTTCCCAAAAATGACAAAAATAGCTAGAATCATACCAATATTTAAATTTGAAGATAAAAATAATTTATGTAATTACTGTCCTATATCTGTTTTACCTACTCTCCCAAAGGTATATGAGAGAGGAGTGTACAACAGACTAAGTAATTACCTGGACAAATTGAATATTCTCTGCAAAACACAGTACAGATTTAGAAAAAGGAGTACCACATGTATGGCCATACTAGACCTAAAAGAGAAAATAAATGATGCTATTGAAGAGGGAGATTATGGGATTGGTGTTTTCCTGGACCTATCGAAGGCCTTTGACACTTTAGACTCTACCATTCTGTTAACGAAGTTACAACATTATGGTATCAGAGGTTTGGCGCTCGACTAGTTTTCAAGTTACTTGCAAAACAGACAACAATTTGTAAATATAAATAATCATAACTTGTGCCATAGGGACATCAAATATGGGGTGCCCCAGGGCTCACTTTTGGGGCCTTTGCTCTTTATTATATATATAAATGATTTCATAAACTGCTCACCTATATTATACAAAGTAATCTTTGTGGACGATACAAATTTGTTTCTTTCCCATAAAAATTTACATGAACTGGGAGAATTATTAAATAATGAATTGTTAAAAGTTGATTTTTGGTTCCTTTGCATTAAGTTATCACTTAATATCACTAAAACAAATTATATTTTGTTCAGCTCCAATAAAAACATACCATCCAATCATCTCAATATTGAGATAAGGGGGAAAGAAATAAAAAGAGTATACACCACAAAATTCCTGGGGGTCCTCATAGATGAGTCTCTTAGTTCCAAACGGCACATACAGTATTTAGTAACAAAGCCCTGCAAA